CTTTTGTGTAGGTGTTGTGTCTCTTACAGATTTGGGGATAGATGAAACATGGCAGCGGCAGAGCAGGTGTGCACATAGACCGCGGAAGGCCCATTCTCGGGGCTGCAGCCATCAGATTTGAAATCTTGGATACATGCACTGTGGCAAGTTACATACACATTCTGTGCCTCAGTTTCCTTATCTGCACAATTATATAACCTTTCTGGGCTCCAAGGATGAGTGTGGTTGTGCATAGAATGCCATTTTAATAGTTGGTGGCATGTGTTACTAGGCACTGTGACATGTTAAGAATGAAGGGGTTCATCATCTGGAGCGTGGACAGTAAGGCATGAGATATTTTTACTGACAATTTTTGTATGATAATAACAATTGATTGTGGGGGTCATTCTCTCCCCTTCGCCCTGGTTCCGTGGAGCCCACAGGCCCCTTCCTCCTGGTGGGCGTCCCATGCCGCCTCGGGTGACTTCACCTGCCAGGGGCTCACTGCACATGATCTGATCTTCCCTCTAAAGGTTCCCTTCAGAGGATAGTAGTATTTTTCTTTTTTGTGAGGAGAGAGAAACACTGACTTCTTAAGTGGATGAGTTCTCTTTGCAGTTTTTTTGTTTTAGAGGTACAAGGAGTAGAAGATTCAGAAGATTCCTTGGTAGAAAGCCAGGCAAGTTTAGGGAAGAGGAAACTCAAGGCAAGGTGCGGTGGCTCACCTCCCTCCCTCCTGACATCTGAAGGGACTAGACATAGGCAGCGGTGGGCAGTATTAGCTCAAGATGCTCAGTGCTCTGCACCCCACAGCCTGACCAAGACCCTGGAGGCCGTCCTAGCCTCTCCCGTGGGAAAGGAAGTGAAGCATCCTTCTGGGCCACCTCCCTGTGTGGAATCCAGTGTCCTGAGGCATCTCTTCCCACTGACCAGGTCCCATAGGCTGCTGGGCCACCCCGTGTCCAGAATAGCTCCCTTCTCATGGGTTGGCCTCGCTCCTGAGATGCCAGTTCTTGCGCCACAGTGGTCCTTTTCCTCAGCACCCACAAAACGCCCTCTCTGGGTGGTCTTGACAGCCGGGTTTTGAAATAAAGCAACTCCCTTTAGGCCTAAGCAGTAGATGGAAGGGTAAGATGCAGGCATGCGCTTGCATCTTCCAAGGAGTAATTACTACTGTCCTTTTGAAGGAAACTATTCCTTCTAGAAGTAGACTGGGTGGAGAAGCCTTTTGGGTGCTCGCTTATTAATTGTAGAAACATGTAAGCTGACACAGTGGCAGGTAGGGCCGGTAGTGTGACTGGCTTACGCAGCAAAGTTAGCACTCGGGGAAGTCAGAGGGGGGTGTTGACCTGGCCGTTTGCATGCAGTGGCTGTGCGGGGACCTGTGTGCAGGCACCTAGGAGGGTTGGCATGCACAGAAGCACCCCCCCACCGTCGGGGACCACTGACTCAGAAGTGGGACATACACAGGTTTACGGCCCAGCCACCACCCTTCCCAGCGGCCCCAGGATCCCCCGTATGGAGGGAAAAGAACTCTTCTGGGTCCAGAACACTGCATCCAGTCCGCCCTCTACTGATTATGTGTCCTTTTCTCGATTACTTTTAAATTTTTACCAAAGAATCCAGGATCAAAATTCTCTGTCAATATATAAGGAATGTGCCTTTACAATTACCCAGAGAAGAAAATAAGAATAACCAAAGAACTTCATTATAAGAAATCTGAGTTAAAATACAGTAAGAAAACATTTAAGCCTGATGGCCTGTTGTGCTGCAATTCTTTGTCTCATTCATGAAAACTACAGACATAAACAATCTGATGTTTTCAGGACTTTGCCACATTGTTCCGCATACTCAACTGTGTCCATTTCTTAAGTGCCTTATAATCACTTCTTGATTTATTAGAGAGAAGATGGTGTTTAGATCAAGAATAAGAACTGGTATCTTTGTACCAGGAAAAGATAATTCCTATTAAAGCATATTTCTTGAAAACTGTAAGGAATTTTAAGAAAACACACAAGATCTTCCATCCATTTAACTGTGAGCTTCTATCTGTGGAACCCCGCCACAGTCCTTTCATAACCCAGCAAGGCGGGCAGCTCCGAATACACAGATACAAAATGGACATTCATCTGTATCCCCTTTTTTTGTTAGGTTCCATTGTTTGAATATTATAGGTGTGTAAACTCAGTAAAATATTCTAAAAGAGTCCAGTAGCTCATAATAGTATTGGGTCTTCCGCTTCACTGGCAATGTCAGAAATTGTTGACCTGAGTCCCCTACAGCTCAACATAACACCATGGCTTTACTTCTTACACTTCATTTTTATACTTTTCTGCTGGCTGGTTAAGACCAAGGTAAAGCAGGACCTATGCAACAAGAGTTGTAGCTTTTGGCAGTAAAAGACCCAGGTTTATTTTGAGACTTGGATAAAATGTGTACCAAAAAGTCTCAAGAGTTCTGTAATGACTTTGGCTCTGTGAGAACACAAACACAGGTCTGGTAGAAAGAGGATGAACTTCTG